TTGAATTAAAATAGTGAAGTAGTGCAGTCAGTTTTAAGACTGCTACTTATCAGTTATCAATGAGATACAGTGCAACTTCTTCTACTGGGACAATTGCAGCCTGCAAGCAAACATCTCATGTTTGTGATGCCATGGACTGTCTAAGGCATGTGTCTCAGGATGCTTACAGAATCACAGAATAGTTTGGGCTGGAAGGGACCCTTAAAGGTCATCTAGTCCAACCCCCCAGCTGGGGACAGGAACATCTTCTAATAGTCCAGGATGCTCAGAGCCCAGTCCAATCAGACCTTTAATGTTTGCAGGGATGTTGCATCCATCTGCCACCTCTCTGGGCAACCTGTTCCAGTGTTTTATCACCCTCCTTGTAAAAAACTTCTTCCTTCTATCTAATCTAAATTGACTCTATTTTAGTTTAGAACCATTAAAGGTTCTAACTAAATTAAAGGACTTAATGGATCCATTTAGTCCAGAGAGTTTGCTAGTCTGCTGTCTACACAGACATTAACCTGAGATAAGAACTGATGTCTCCATTATAAAATGTGAAATGTGAGAAGAAGATGGAGAAGGTATGTTTTCTTCCATTTGCATATGTTTGGCTTGTGTGACAAGGGGCTAAGAGAAAGGCTTATAAAAAGCAAGATATAATGCAATGATGCTCTTCAGGGGCAGAGGCATAGGACAGTAAAATCAATCTCATGTTTCTTAATAAGCTCTAGGTCTCCATCTAATTTTAATTTTCTGCCTGGAATACTAAAATACTTTCAGGCACTTATATTCTGCTCATTATTAATAAACAGTATATAACACTCAAGATGTTTCTTCCATTTCCTGCCTCATTCTGGTTTATCCATTATGATTCTCAGTACTACAAGAAAGTGAATTTTCTTCTATTAGGAATCTCAAAAACCTGCCATTTTCTATGAATGATTTTAATAACATCACTGCAGGAAGGGAAATATATACAAAATGGCATGTTTTATACAAACATAGGAAAAAAAGGTTTTTTGGGGGGAACATAATTTAATAACCAAATTTTTCCCCTTCAGCATTCATAAGACCTAAAGTAGAATGCCATTATTTGAACTGCCAGCTCTACTTCTGCAATTGACAAAACCATTTTCTGACAAATGGCTTGTTGAACCAGAACGTAAATACACAGCCAAATCTAGCTGTGGAAGGCAAGCTGTGTGCTTTTGAAACTACACAAGCTTCCTCTGCTGGAAGAAATACACAGCTGCAGGGCTATCCGTGGCCCTTGAGAGGAAGAAAGGCTCCATCACAAACTTTGTAGAAGGGACACCCTTTCCAACGGAAATTGAAAGCTGAAATTTTAAAATTTTGGTGGAAACAGAGAAAACCCCAATGTTTTGTGGCTGTATCATTGCTGCCTAGTTTGGAAGTACACTGGAAACTAATCTTGTGGAGCATACACAACCAAAAGCAGGGAAAACATCAGTCCTGGACAACATAAGGATATTTTTTGTTATTTACACGGAAATGTGCTTTTTATCACATTTTAAAAAAAAATAAAATTGCATCTTACCCTTGTCTGGTTCCTTGGCTCATTCCTGGGAGACTAAGTTGCTGTTTGATCAGATCTCCCAGAAAGGAAAGCTGAAAGGACTGGCCATTGATCTGAAAAGAGAAGCATAGTCAGGATGACTCAGTGTGCAGAAATGAGCGTTACTTATACCTTTGGGGTTTAATTCACTGATTTAGATATTTCATGTTTATAAAGTTTTCCCAGGAAGCTGCTTTTCTGTAGGGCCACATTGAGGATATTCACAGCACTCATATTCTGACATTCTACTCTGCTGAAGGAGCATGTTTTCCATGCTGAGCCCCCATCTGCTGGCATGTCAATCAGCAGTCACTCACTCTGCGATTTTTCTTCAACTCCTTGGGCTTTGTTTTAGTTTCTCCCTCATGATGATTGGCAATATGAGACTGTCAATTTCTTTAGTCTATTTCCTAACTCATCAATGGATATGCTGAGCAAGATGGGTCCCATATTGGTCGAGACAGCCTACTGGTAACATCCCTCACTGTGAAAGGTTTTTGTCTTTTTCTTTCCTCTCTATCTTCAGTTAGAGACCCGTGTGAGGAGCTCCCCTCTTGCCCCAGGAACACTTAAATTCGTAAAGGTCATTTGTGAGAGTCTTGTTAAAGCTGCTGTGCATTGTGTGATACAGGCAAGAGTAACACTTTTATTATTATAAATTTAAAACGAGCTGGGTTCCTGGTACACCTTTCATCTTAGAAAACACCAATGATCTTACATTGTTTATGTGAGAAGTTTCAGTCTTTGTCACTAAGGAAAACATTTTTTCTTCACAGGTATTTATAAGCAGAAGTTCACAGTCACAGCCTTTACAATGATGCAATTATATTTTTCTTTTGTAACTCTTATCTTACTGTTAGAGACTGAAATGCTATTATTTATGGCTTAAACATAATCAGCAAGGCAGAAAATCTGTGCATATGCAAAATATCATGTTACATTGGAAGAAAACCAGTTATTGAGAAGTTGATACATAAAATAAATTGAATCTTTGAATGCTTGGAACTTCTGTCTTCAAAAAGATACATCAGGGAACTGTCTTAATGATATGAAGTGTTTATTTTTGAAGTCAGTCATCGTGTTGAGATGGTTGGCTAGCATAACATGTAATCATTCTATTTAAGAAAGATTTCTGCAAGACTAGCCTTTCTTTGGACTATAATGCACAAAATCTTTTTTTTTCTCAGAAAATATTTTTAAAACCCACAAAAGGTTGAGAAAAGGACAGGAAAATTTGAAAGGCTTGTGTTGTTTAGTCTGTGAGATGGAGTTGAAATTCAGACAGAAAGACTAGCATTGACAAAATGAACAGCAAACACACTAACTCATTATTTTAAAATTACATTCAAAACTGTTATTTAAAAATTTCAACATGTTCTGAGAGAAATTGCAAGTGTATCAGAACATGAGATACAGCACAAAATTTAGAAGCTGACAAGATATTAGACCTTCTAATGAATTGTTCTGACTTCATTAGAACTCGGACTGGTATCTGGTTTGTGACTGAAGAGTTTTGAATCTGCTCCTTTGTTTTCCTGCATTTGACAAGTAAATCTGCCCACAGAGTTTATTGCACGGCCCATAAAATAATTTTTCAGGCACAGAATCTTGTTGAACATATAATGCAGAACTTTAAAATTTGTGATGAAATACGTCCACAATAATACATAAACAACAGAAAGACCTCATGATGGCCCCAGGCCAGGAAGTTACATGGTGGAAGTCACTTCAGAGCAGCAAGGGAACTTTTCTGTCCTTATGTGCCTTGAGCTACAGAATCTACAACCTAGACATAGAAATGGAATTAAATAAACCAGAATCATCTCTACCAAGTCAAGTGTATATTCCTTGTGAAAATTAATTGTCTCAATTATTTTCATGGACAGAAAATAACAGTTGCATACCTTTCATAATACAAAGGAGAAAACTTGTGTACCTTTTTTATTTTGACTCCACACTGAATATGCAACTGCAGAAACAGTAAAGCAGCTGATAAAATCTGTATTGTAATGCCTATATAGAAAAAACCACCCCAAAATAAAACTGCATAAACAATAGTAAAACTGGCATTTTCTCAATGAGGATTTTTAACATTATGTGTTGTAGCAAAAGCTCAGTGATATTCATGAGACAAAAGAAGAGGTTCACTTGTAGCCCACTGACTTTCTTCCTAGCAAGCCAGAAAAACTTACTGCAAACAGTGGAGCAACCATGGAGATATTAAATGTTTTTTTTTTGTTTTTTTTTAATAAGAGCATTGCAAAAATGCTTTAGAAAACAATCTAAATAGAGAGTTTTGATACTGATTCTCATGACTGTTATTTGATTTTTGATTTGAAAGAAAAGACTTTACATATCTTTGAAAATTACATACCAGTAAACAGTAGAAACTTGTTCGTATTTCCTAAAGCCAAACTCCACAGAATCTCAACTCCATCCCAGCATTAAGGAAATTTTAAACTCCTTTATGAATAATTGAAAAAATAATTTAAAGATTTCAATTTTCAGTTTCTAGCCATCATCTTTTCCTGTTTCACTGTACTCAAGGGCTGGTATATTTAGTTTATTTTCTCAGGTAAAACACCAATATGCATGTGTGTGGGCACACTTATTTGCCTGCATAAGGCTGTTGGCTAATTTTATTTGAATAATACTTTGCCGTAGACATCTTAGGAACGTTTATGTATCTCCAAGTTTCAGAAAAACCAGATTGTGTAGCATTAACTCATCCCACATAAGACAACAAAGAATATCATAATTATAGGAAAAACTTCAATGGAAGCTCCAACCACTTTTCAATAAGACTATTTTCAAATGTTTCCTGCAGTTAAGAGATTTGTACTAACTCTAGTGAATTATCTAATGAAAAGCAACTTATGCTGCAGTGGATGCTCGCATTACTTTAAAAAATCACTTGAAAAGACAGCGAGCCTCGCTGTCCTACGGATCCCAGCCCCACCGGCTGACAGGTTACAAAAACTTTAACACTCCTGAAACTCCCTAGTCTTTTGTGCCGGGGCGGAAAACGGAGAGATTGAGCTGCTAAATTCCAGTTGTAACAAAGAACAGAACATTGTCGAGTTCTCAAGGGATTTGCATGTACGCAGAACTTGTGCGTGGGAGAGACCTCAGTGCTGACCCACTCTGCTCCCGCTTAGGAACTACAGGAGAAGCACGACTGGCATTTTGGGTTGGGGCTTCTGCAGCTTCTGACAGGGAGCCGAGCGCTTCCTGGCACCTCAGCCTTCGGCGGAGCGCCGGTGTCGCGGTGCGTTCCCCGAGCCCCGGGTAAGGGGCGGCGGCGGAGACCCCGGCCGCGGCGTGTGGGGCGGCGGCCGCGCCCATGGCGGCGGGCGGGCAGGTACCGCGCACGGCAGGCGGGGCCACCGCTGCCGCTCCGCCCCCTCCTCCTCCGCCTCCTCCTCCCGCCTCAGGTTTGTCATCGTGTCGCCGGCACGGCCCGGAGGAGGAGGAGGAGGAGGAGGAGGACGGCGGTGCTGTGTGTGAGAGAGCGTGGAGATGAGCTCAGCTCTGTGCCCTGGAGCCGCCTGAGGAGACCCGGCTGCCTCCCAGCCTCCCTCGCCGCCGCCGCCATGGCTCACTCCCCCGTGCAGGCGGGGCTGCCGGGGATGCAGGTGAGCAGCTGCCCCAAGGGCAGGCACGGACACGCTCCTGGGGCCGGGCTGGCTGTAAACGGGGGGATTCCCGGGGCTGGGGGGAGAAAGCGCCTCTTGGCCCTGGCTCGGCCGCGGGGGCTGGGGGCAGAGGAGCGGGATGGAGACGAAACGTGCTGTCGGCGCTTGGCGTGGCGCCCGGCGAGGTCCCTCCGCCCGTGGATCGCTGCCTGCCGCTGCTCCCTCCATCCGTCCTCGGCAGCCGCTCTGTCGCTGCGGGCGTGCGGAGCGGAGCCGGTGGCCCCTTCCCCCGGCCGGCAGTTCTGCTGCTCGGTGTTTTAATTCCTGAAGGCAGCCGCGGCTCAGTGCGCGATTTTCGGCCCCGTTAGTTTGAGGTGCGTAGGGCAAGCATTCGTACAGCCAGTCCGTACAAGCAGGGCCTGGAAATGTTGACCTTCAGCGCATGCTGCAGTGCCCATGTCTGTGGTGCTGCTGTGAGCTGAGTGCTCGGGAATCGTGTTTGTCTCCCGTGTTTGATCCCGAGAGTTGCTCAGCTGCTGTTGTTGTACGGTGGAATTTGCTTGTTCTGTGTCTAAACTATATATTTGAAAAAACTAATGCTGGCTGAGCTGGCTCAGTCTGAGCCTCTCCCCCCACCTCGTTTTTCTTGGTTTAAATGGAAACTGCTGCCAGGAAAACGTTAAGGTCATTGGTATCTGTGTGTTGTTATTCTAATATTCCCCACATCTGATTAGAAACTTTCTTGCCCTTACCTCCACAGGAACAACTTATAAATGACATGTAAGAGTCTCTCTCAAATTTGTCTCCTGAATTGAAAGTGTTTGTGCATCATTTGCTTTAAGTATTGATTTACCATGGTTTGTTTTATTGTGAGTCAAGATTCTAAGTCATGAATCTCTTTTCATTCCAAAATTTGAATTGAAAATGTTACATGCCTAGGCAAAGCATGAATTATGTGCTCATACATAGTACTGGATGCCCCGTAGCCTACGTAGGCCCACTCTCTGAGCTAATTAATTTATTGCTGTGTAGGTACTGCTGTTGGGAGTTCAAGTTCACCTTCCAAATATGAGCAGTTTGCTGATAGACAGAGAAATTAGGGTTTCTTGATTGACTATGGATATTGTTTGGGCTTTTTATTTTATTCCTTTGGGACGTACTAGAACTAAGACAACTACCTACTTTGAGACAGAGCCTATAACACTTTAGCATTTAAAAATCAGATTTGTAGCTCCTTGGAAGTGAAAGAATGAAGATTATTCCATCAGTATGTGTGTACTGATGTTGTATGTCACTTTATGATCTGAGGACCTGTGCTTTTTATTGACTTGATTTATTATTTGGTTTGTAGTACTGTTAGCTGTACTAAATGCATGGATCTTCAGAGTTCTTATTAGTCCATGTCATTTGGGACTTTGCTTCAAATAGTTTTATTCAAAACTATTGGTGTCATTTTTCTCATGAATTTAATTCTATTACTTTGAGAGTTGCTCAAGTGTGAACTTTCATAGTCTAAAAAAACAAACCCAAAACACCAGAGATCTCCCAATAGGTAGAGGCATGAAGTCTGTGAGCAATGTGAATGCTGCTCACTCATTTCCTGTGCCCAGTTCAAGATGTCTGTATCCTTTTCCAGTCTGTCAGAATATATAGCAGTTTTATAGCAGCCTGTTTTCAGTACACAATTCTCTTTGATTTTACTTCCAAATAAATGTTCAAAGAGTAAAGTACTTACAATATGTGACATCTGCTTCGATACGAAAAAGATTTGGGACTTTGTGTAGAAGAGAGAAATAGAGCTTAGTTCTCTGGGCTATAATTAAATTGCCTAAATCACGGGACTATCCTTTTTCTGTAGTGTGATCCCTCCTCCCCACCTACCAGCTTCTGCCACAAACGGTGGAAGCAGTGTCAGCGACAAGTTATGGAGCTTTCTTTGCTGTACTCGCACAAGAGAGCACCACCCATTGTGCTTGTGTGAGCAGGGCGACTTCTTGACCCCAGAAAATCACTTGGAGGGACATCACTTTATTAATGCTGTTAATGAGCATGGTAGTGTCAGTAGAGCAGAGGAATGAAGGATTAATGTATTTCTCCCTAAACAAGATGTCTGATCAATGCTTGAAGAGTGATGCATAAAAATGAGTGGGTAGAGAGTGAGCCAAAGGAATGAAAAACTGTGGAGGAAATGTAGGATGGTGCTGGAAGGTTGTCAAAACCTGAGATTTGCTGTCTGCTGTACAGTGGGCATGTTGTAACCTGAATAAAAACAGAGTTGGGTTTTGAGCTAAATTTCTGTGCGTGCACTTTAAGTTTGGACTGGAAGTTTTTGCTGTTGCTGTTTTAAGGCTCTGTACAGATGTGAGTTTGGGTGTGCAGGGTGAAGCTGCACCATGACTAAACTGAGGATGTGTTGTCTTGCTTCTTCATGCCTTATGGAAGTGGCCTGGGCAGAGTGTGTGTTTGCCTGTAAATGTGTGAGATTCCTGCAAGACTGGCTCCGGTAAGCGTGTACACGACCTTGATTTTCAGACTGGCCTGCATTTCAAGGCTGTGGTAAGCTTCTGGAGCTTCTTTAAGGAAGCTGTATTTTAAATCAAGTACTGTGTTTATAAATTTATGGTAATAAATTCCTGTGATGCTTTTAAAATTCCATCATCTTGAAGACAAGCCTCTTCTGTGTGATAAACTCCTTTTTTTATCTTCCTCCCTTTTCAGTTGTTTTTGTAGCAATAACAATGTTTATGCAGCAAGTTATTTTTATTCATTCTTCATTGTATTTTCAGTACAAGAGCTACAGGTTCTTCATGCAAAATGTAAATAAGCATTGACATTCAAGCTGTGTTGCTTCAAGAAATGCTAGAAGTTTAACTAAATTTAAGTGGGAACTTGACAAATGAACAGAAAAGGTTTTTAAGCATAAAGGCACCATTTCAGGCCCAGAAAGTGTCAGTTTGCCAGAGACTGGAAGGGTGCTTTGGGAAATGCTGCTGTTTATTTGTCTCTTTTTGTGCTGTTCACAAGATGTGCACTTTGTGCTGCTGTAGGATGAGTGTCCTGGCCTAGAGGATCCTTTGTTCTGGTCGGCATGGCTGTTCTTTCTTAGTTACACACTATAGGTAACACTGTCTTCCTTGTTGTAACTCATTCTCCTTTTAAAATAAACTGCTTTAAGTGCTTCCTGTGTGAGCTCTGTGTTTGGTGACTGCAAAATATTGTGTTGTTAAATCAAAGGCACTGTGGAAAGGCCTCTTAGCTTCTCCTGCTTTCCATTTGCAGCTTCTGTGTAGGAGATGAGCTTTCCCCAAGCTTTCCCCAGTTTGATTTTTTTTTTTCAGAGTTTGTGCTCACTGTTACTGTTTATGTTACAGTTTGACAAATACTTTGCAGTAACTTACAGCACTTAAATACTGGACAGATCCTTGAACCATTATGATCTTGGATAATCAGTTTTAAAATAGTCTCAATACAGATGTCATGATTCTGTGACATGACAAGCTCAGCCCTTGGGTACCAGGACAGAAGAGTTTTAATTGGTGAAAAAGAAGTGGGCATCTTCTCACTCTGCAGTCAAAGGCTGTTTCAGGGCTATCTAATAGATGTATGGAGCAGTTTGGGTGTCAGGAAAACCTATTTCCATTGTGTGGCCTTCCAGAATAGGTAAATAGATGCAGCTTATGGCAACTGTGTCTTTCAGGTGTCCTCACAGGCCCGTCAGACTGGCCCTGTGTTGTGGTGAGTTCCATGTGTGAGCAAGGTACCCTCTGGCCAGCTGGCATCTTTGTTCCCCAGAGAGACAAAAGGCCACTGAGGCAGCAGACACATTTAATACCAGGCCTTGTGTTACAAGTGGTGCACAAAGCTCTGATGTCAGCTTTTACATAGTGCCATCTTTTGTGTTTCTGAAGTAGAAAATGTATCTTGGCTGCGTTTTCAACATTTGCTTAAATTCTTCTCGTACTCCCTTTCTTGTGAGTGGGATGGGAAGGGGAATAGAGGATGCACACAACGCTGATGGACAAAGTCAACACAGCATCGAATATAAATTAAAAATAATAAAAAATACTGCATCCATCCTGTAATAATTTGGTCCCTTCTATTAAAAAAAAATGTGGACATCTGGAGAGAGTTGAGAGAAAGACCACAAAGATAACTGGAGGCCTGGGAAGCCTTTTGCATGGGAGGGTCGAGAGAGCTGGATGTGTTTAGCCTTGAGAAAGGATGGCCCAGGATGGAGACCTTATCACAATGTTCCAGTATTTCAAAGGTGTCCAAAGAGAAGATGGAGACTCCATTTTTACTAGGAGTCACATGGAAAGATGAAGGATAAGAGGTACAAATTACACCAGGGGAGAATTCTGATTGGACACAAAAGGAAAATTCTTCACAATTAGGACAATCAGCCATCTTGAGGAAATGGTGGATTCCCCAACGCTGGACTCAAAATTTTAAGTCTTGCCTGGACAGGGTGTTGGGCTACCTTGCCTAGACTGTGCTTTTGCTGGAAAAGTTTGGACCAGATCTTCCTTGAGATCCCTTCCAACCTGGCGTTCTGTGACTGCGAGTGATTTTGATCTGGTTATTGCTTTTGTGATGATACATCTTTTGTGGAGTACTGTTTAATTCAGTGGTTTTCTGTGTGCCTAAAAGTAATCATTTGTGTGGATGCAGCTTTATAATCAAAGCTGGTTTTACTTGTAAGCTCTTTGTTGATCTGGGTAATTTTCTATGTGCAGGTATGCACAAATGTCAGACTGTGCTGGTTGTATGTTAGTATAGAACTAAGAGCCTTCTGCAGTGTAACTTGATAAAAAGTGAGGCTTGAATTGGGAGAATTTATTGTATTCTCAGTTGCTCTGCTTGGCAGCTTCTTGAGACAGACATCTGGGTTTTCTGTCAGACACAATGGGTGCAAGAAGAGTCTCCCCTCAAATTATGACATTGCTGTAGAATAAAATTTGCTATTTTTCTTATTTTTGTCAAGTAGTATTAATGCAACA